GGTCAGGGGCCTGGGCCTGGACAAACTAGTTGCCTTACGCGATCACGAGGTAAGGCACGCGTTCGCGATAGGGAGTCGACCCAGTGCATCACGTTCGCGAGACTCCTTTCGCGATTTCAAAGAAGGAGTTTTATGGGTTCTTCAGTTTTGCCTTCGCGAATGCGTAGACTTTATCGCGTTCGCGATGAAGGGTCAGGCCTGGGCAGAATGTTTTAAAACGGGACTTAGGACTTTTTCCTCTCATTTTTCACATACTTGGGCAATTTTAGAGCTTCAAAAAGTGGGATTTCAACCTAGCTATTCAGGGTAAGTAATTCCAACCTAATGTGAGTTTAATACATATATAATGGGTAGATATTAAAATGTAAATTTGTGGAATTTAGGGTTTAGATGAAAAACCTAGATTTTTTATAAAAATGGGATTTAGCCACGAAATTGGTTATGGAATTTAGTGAAAATTATATATTTGAGTTCATGAGGTTATAGATAACAACTTTCTTAGAAAATTTTTGGAACTCGGGCAAGTGGGCCCGGGGGTGAATTTTAGGAATCCTACATTTGCGGTTAGGTAATCACTTTAATAGTTGGAATATGAACTTTTGAACATGTATTGATTAATTTATATACCATTTGGCTAGTTTTGGATTGTTCGGCACGGAGTTGAGGCTTTAGAGTGAATTTGGGGCCGAAATGTAAGCTTTTGAGACGAGGTAAGTCTCTTTTCTAACCTCGTAAGAGGGAATTAACCCCATAGGTGAATTGATTAATATGTGCTTCTACTTGTGTTGTCTACGTACGCACGAAGTGACGAGAGTCCATACGTAGCTACTAATTATGCTTATGTCCGGGAAATCTTGGACCCATACCATGCTATATTTACGATATTCGCTCCCTACTTGTTAACTTAATTGCTTAAATCATATTGGAACTTGATAAAGGAATGGTAAAAGGTTAAATTTCATTTACCTGAATTTTGGATGGGCCACTTGACTGTTATTGAGAATTGGTGTTTCTTTAAGTATTAGCCTCTTAATAAATCCTAAATCGGTTGTTATAAAGTATGTTCTCTTTTGAGGAGCGGGCCAAACGCCTCAGTAGCAGATAGATGCATTTATGGTTCGCGCAGTTCGACCCTTGGCAATGCAGAGTTTAAATACTTTATGTTGGATCGGGCCGTATGACCTCGGTATGAATTACGCGTAATAAATCTCTGGAACAAATTATAATTGATATTGCTTCATTCTCTTGAGATATAAATTGTTAAATGATGGAAACAAATTAGGGGTTTATTATTAGTGAAAGGATTGCTTATTATTTCCTGTTGTTGAGTTTTCAGCTATATTTATGTAATCCATGCTTAGTTATAATTTTGACATTTTATTGTAAGCCCATAGTAAGTGTCAAAGTCGACCCCTCGTCACTACTTCTTCGAGGTTAGACTAGGTACTTACATGGTACATATTGTTTATGTACTCACGCTACACTTCTGCACTAAATGTGCATGATCTGAGGCAAGTGCATCTGGATCTTCGAGGAGGCCGGGAGCCCCTGCTCCTACATTCCGCCAGAGGAACACTACAACGGGGTCCGCCCTTATTGTGACTGTGGCCAGGCCTGACCGGCCATCCACTTCTGTTCAGCCACCGATTTTGTCTAGATCAGCTCGATCGTCGATGGCCTCAGTACTAGAGACTCCGGCCTCTCCCTTTCTTCTTTTAATAGATGAAGAGTCATCACTGAGCGAGAAGGATTTGGTCACTCGTAAAAAGAGGTCAATGGACGTCGGCGATTGGACAATCCAAACCGTGGATTCTATAAGGAATGATCACGAGCCGGCTGCCGTCTTGCCTGAAGACGATGCAAATCTTCCGACGGAAGTCTAACTGTCAGCGGAAGCTATAGAGCACGTACCCCTCTAACATTGGAGTTGGTGGATCGTCCGTGGAGGTTATGGGTACAGTTCGGCGAGATGAGCCATCGTCCTCGCGGCCAGTTGATGTTCCCACCTCGTCAACTGTTGTAAGAGGTAAGGGCTTTCTGAGGAAAGTTATGAGACGGGCTCCGATCTCGATCCTGATGAGGCTCGGATGTTGAGCGAGGGGTTTACTCGCGTTGAAGTCAGGTTGGAAGGGTCCTCGCGGACCATCATGGTTCTCATGGATCGGGACCTTTTGGTGAACACAGAGGACGTAGTTCCCTCCTTGGGTCCTCTTTGCTCGTATGAGGAAGGAAGGACCCTCGAGACGTTGGACGATGCCACCATATCAACGGGTATAGCCGGCCTCACCCTTAGAGTATTTTTTCTGACCTTCCAAGTTTCGATAGGGAGATTTGATGACGGGAGCCCCGACTTGATATATTTACAGATTTGATGACGGCGGGCAAAGTTCCTGAGGCCGACTTCGAGGATGCTCGCACTAAGGTGCATACAGCTCGGATCGGTTGTGGCTATGTTCTGCTACACCAGAGGCCAATGATGGCGAGGAAGATGTGGATGGGATTGAACGGGCGACTGGTACAAGGATGAGTATCCTGACGGCGACGACGATGGTGGAGAGACGGGTGGAGATGGCACTGTTGGGTTAGGTGGCGAGTAGTTGTTTTTCTTTCTTTTAGCTTGTAACTTTTGTACATACTTTTGCAGGCATCTGTTCTAGCCTTTGTAAAGAATATATTTGAAGTATGAGATGTCATTTTCGCTATTCGTATCTGATTCTTTTCCTTCTGTACGGGCTTGTATGCTTCTTTCTTTTGTTTTTCCGTTTGGTCGCTTTAGTCGTAAAAACATTGTTTATGCGTGTTGAACGAGGTCGAAACAGAATTTAGTTTTGGTCATGGCCGGAGGCCAGTAGTGTTAATTCGAACGAGGTCGAATGCAACTTGTACTCAGTCAGTTCGAAATGAGGTTGAACGTAACTTAGTTAATTCAAACGAGGTCAATTGTAACTTTTATTTAGTCAGTTCGAAACGAGGTCGAACGTAACTTAGTTAATTCGAACGAGGTCGAATGTGAGTTAATTCGAGCGAGGTCGAATGTAAGTTAGCTTGTACGAGGTCGAATGTAACTTTTATTTTGTTATGGTCGAGGACCAATTAGGTGTTAATCCGAACGAGGTCGAGTATAACCTATACTTGGTTAATTCGAGCAAGGTCGAATGTAACTTTTGCTTAATTATGGCCGCGATCTGAGTGGGTGTTAATTCGAACCAGGTCGAGTGTAACCCATATGTATTTAATTCAAACGAGGTGGAATGTGAGTTAATTCGAGCGAAGTCGAATGTGAGTTAATCCCAATGAGGTTGAATGTCACTTCGTTAATTCGAATGTGAGTTAATTCGAGTGAGGTCGAATGTCACTTTTGTTTGTTATGGCCGGGGGCCGATTAGGTATTAAGGAAGTGTTGCTCTGGCGAAAATATGGGTGAACTTCATGCATTTGCGTTTTTTTCATATACTTGGATGGAGAAATTGTTTTCTGGGCCGGCATTCCTGTCCCAGTCTATCTAGTCCCTTCTTTGGGTGACCTGGAGAAGTGTTGAGAGGTTGGGCAATGAACTGTTTGTCCAGTGCCTTCTTCCGTTTGTACATTAACTTGAAGCGTACCCCTTGTCGCCTCGTTAAAAACCTTCTTGAGAAAACCCATTGGGACATAACTCAAGTGAGAGAAAATAGAGTACGACTTGAAGAACGCTTTTCCTCAAAATTGATGTACTTGAGGTAGGTGACATTCCAGTTGTTTGGTAGTAGTTTTCCTTCCATCTTTTCTAGTTGGAATGACCCCTTGTTTGTTGTTGCCGCGATTTTGTTTGGGCCATCCCAATTTTTTCCTACTTTGCCTTCCCGCGGGTCTTTGCTTGCTTGTATTTTGCCTTTGAGCATGTAGTCCCCGACTTTGAGTGGTGTGATCTTGGTTGTTTTATTATAATAGTGTTCTGCCTGTTATTTTTGGGCGATCATCCATATGTAGGCCATATATCTATGTTCTTCGGCTTCGTCGAGCTCTTGCCTTCTGTTTCATCATTCCTCGGCCCGCTTTCATAGGAATACCTCAAACTGGGCTCTCCGACTTCGATTGGTATTACCGCATTAGTCCCATAGACTAATGAGTAGGGCGTCTCTCCTGTGCTCGTCTTTGGCGTTGTTCGATAGGCTCAAAGCACTTCTGGTAGTAACTCCGGCTATAGTCCCTTGGCGTCCTCAAGCTTTTTCTTCATGATGTTCAGTATTGATTTATTGGAGGATTCTGCTTGCCCGTTTCCCATCGGGTGATACAGTGTTGAGACTATTCTCTTATGCCATTTCTCAAAAAATTCGGCGACCTTTTTTCCTGTAAATTGGGGTTTGTTGTCGCTACTGATCTCTTTGGGGAGGCCGAAGCGGCACATGATATTTTTTCATATAAAGGCGATCACTTCCTGTTCGCGTATCTCGGCAAATGCTCCTGCTTCTACCCATATAGAAAAATAGTCGGTTAAAACTAAAAGAAATCGTACCTTATGTCGCACCGCAGGGAGCGGGCCGACGATGTCCACTCCCCAATTGATGAACAGCCAAAGGGAAGTGACCGAGTGGAGGCGCTCTCCTGCTTTATGGATCATCGGGGCGTATTTTTGGCATTGCTTGAATTCTTTCACGAAGTTTGCGGCCTCTTTTTTCATAGTGGGCCAGTAATAACCTGCCTATATGAGACATCTCACTAGAGCTCGATTGCCGAAAATGGCCTTCATGGAATTCTTCAAGGACGCGCCGCATCTAATTTAGGCCTAAGCATTTCGCAAGGGGGCCGCCATACGTCCTCTTGTATAGGTCGTTATGAATGATGTTGTACCTGGCCGCTTGCATCTGAAGCTTCTTGGCTTCTTTTTTATTAGTTGGGAGTACGCCATCCTACAAGTATGTAACAATAGGTTGCGTCAGTCCCAAGTTCCTCGATTTGATCTATCGATGAGTGGAGGAGGGTGACCATGTTTCTTTCTCCGGTTATGTTTTTAGGGGCTGCTGCTAATTTGGCGAGGCGTCCGCTTTGATATTTTCTGCTCGAGGAATCTGGTCAAGCTGCCACTCGTCAAACTCGGGCAGTAGTTTGCAAATATCGGCCTGGTATTTTTGCAACCTTTGTTCTTTGATCTGGAAAGTTGTTATGACTTGGTTGACGAAGAGTTGAGAGTCGCAGTGTTGTATGACATGTATCGCCCCATACTTGAGTGCTAGCCTTAATCCTGCAATCACGGCCTCATACTCGGCCTCATTGTTAGTCATGTCTAGGCATCTTATAGACTGGCGAATCACTTTGCCCGTCGGGATTTTGTATACAAGTCCCAGTCCGGACCCTGACGCGTTAGAAGCGTCGTCGGTGTACGAAACCCATAGATCTTCCATTTGTGGAGAAGCGTGGGCGGCTTCTTTTTCGACTTCGGGCATTATTTTTGCGCTGAAGTCAGCGACGAAGTCGGCGAGGACTTGTGACTTTATCGTCGTTCGCGGTTGATATGTGATATCATGCTCACTTAATTCTATGGCCCACTTGGCTAACCTGTCCGATGGCTCGAGCTTATGCAAAATACTTCTCAAGGGAAAGGTTGTGACTACCGAGATGGGGTGGCACTGGAAGTAGGGTCTAAGCTTTCACGAAGCTACGACCAAGGCCAGGGCTAATTTTTCGAGGTGGGAGTACCTCGTCTCGATGTTGACTAAAAGTATGCTAATGTAGTAGATGGGAGATTGCGTACCTTTATTTTCTCGGACCAGGACTGCACTCACCGCTACTTCGGATACAGCGAGGTAGACGAGGAGGCACTTTTCCCAAGTTCTGGTTTGGATAATAGCGACGGTGATGACAAGTAAGCTTTCAACTCCTTCAGGGCTTGGGCACACTCTGAGGTCCACTGGAGGTCGTTGTCCTTTTTGAGTATGCCGAAAAACCTGTGGAATCTATCGGATGATCGTGAGATGAATCTTGACAGGGCACCGACACGGCCAGTCAGCCTCTAAACCTGTTTTTTTGGTGGTTAAGTGCTCTAGTATTCCTTCTATGGCTTTGATCTGGTCGGGGTTGACCTCGATGCTTCGTTGTGATATTAGGAAATCCAAGAATTTTTCTACATACTTTTTGAGGTTTAATTTCATTCTCTATCGCCTGAGTATATCGAAGGCTTCTTTCAAGTGTCCGATGTGATCTTCTCTCCTTTGGAATTGACCAACATATCGTATATGTAGACTTTCATAGTCTTGCCGAGTTGATCCTTGAACATTTTGGTCACCAACCTTTGGTACGTCGCCCCTGCGTATTTCAGTCTGGAAGGCATAACTCTGTAGCAGTACGTTCCTTGATGGGTGATGAAAGTGGTTTTCTTCCGGTCCTCCTCTTCCATGAGGATCTGATTGTAGCTTGAGTAGGCGTCTAAGAAGCTTATCAGTTCAAGCTCGGTCGTTGCATCAATGAGCTAGTCGATATGAGGTAATGGGAATGAATCTTTAGGGCATGCTTCATTTAGATCTGTAAAGTCTATGCACATTCGCAACTTCCCAATTTTCTTTTTCACCATGACCACATTGGCGATCCGTTGGGGGTATTTTGACCCTGATGGAGCCATTCTGCAATAATTTTTTGACCTCCTCGTGCACTGCATCATTTATTGAGGAATTGAACTTCCGCCTAACCTACCTCACCGGGGGGTGAATGGGTCGACGTTCAACTTGTGTGTATCCATCTCCTTCGAGATACTAGCATATCTGTATGGGCTAAAAGCAAACAAGTCCGTGTTAGCAGTTAAGAATTGACGGAATTTACCTGGTTCTTGAAGCTTGCAGCCAGATGTAGGCTTTCTTGCTGTGGTCATTGTCATCAAGTGAACGAGGTCGAGGTTTTATATGGTTGATTCCGCAGCTTCTACTATTTCGGGATCTCTGATGAAGTTTTCAACTCGACCGCGGACATGTTAATTTCTATGCCTCTTTTGCTTTACCCTTCATTTCTTGGGTAGTCGTACAATCCTGGGTGATGCAGTAGCATTCTTGAGAAGTGCATTATTCTCCTCGTATGCTGAATATTCCCCATGGGTTTGGGAATTTGATAACCTGGTACAAACTGGAGAAGATGGCCTTCATGGCGTGTATTGAGGGTCGGCCTATTATGGAGTTGTATGCCATATCCTAGTCCATGACGTGGAATGTGGTTTCCAGGGTGACGCCATCGTCCAGGACAGGGAGAGTGAGTTTTCCAAACGTTCGTTCAACTGCATTGTTAAAACCTGTTAGCGTGATGCACTACGGCACTATCCTATCCTCGAGTTTTATTTTGTGCAAGTACTCGATGGTGGATAATGCACACACCGCTCCCATCATCACCATAATGAATCTCACATCTGTATCTAATATGTGAAGTGATAATAAGGGCATCATAATGAGAAAAAACCAAACCGTGGGTATCTGGCTTATCGAAGATGATACGTTCTTCGAGTTCGTCATACCCTTCCTGAATGATTGAGCGTTTGAGCCTGTGGGTTGTGGTAAACTTTACACTGTTTATTGAAGCGTTGTCGCCACCCCCGATGATCAGTTGAATGGTGCAGATTGGTGAGGGTGGTTTCGGCGGTCCCTGGTGCTGCTCACGTCCCCGGGAAAAGTTGTTCCTCCCCCGATCACTCAGCAATTCTTTGAGGTGTCCTTGGAGAAGCATGTTCACGACCTCCTGCCTTAGGGCGATGCAGTCCTTCATTTTGTGACCTCACTCCTAGTGGAACTCGCAGAGGGCGTCTGACTTTCTGGTGCTTCGATCTGACCTCATCTTTTGTGGCCACTTTACTTTTGGTCCGAGCTTCTCTAAGGCGTAGACAATTTCTGAACGTGACATACAATAATTATGAGCGGATAACAAAGGGAGCATACCTCTCTCGTGTTGGTGAGTCCCTGTCCTTGGTCTAGGTGGACCCTCTTCGAGGCGTGAAGGGGACATGATGGCGCTTCTGATGTACGGCTGATGTCGTTCTCGGTTAGGTCGTGGAGCTACGAGATCTTTCCTGACATCATTTCTTCGATCCCTCCTGGACTCGTCATGTACCGAGGTCAACCGATGGGTTGCCTATTTAGGTCATCCTCGTCTGCACGGACCTCGGCACAATAGGCGTTATGTATCTCATCCCAAGTGGTTGGAGGATATTTATAAGCCAACTTAATAACTTTCCGGTCTCCATTGAACCATTCCTGCTCAGCCCGTTTTGGAAAGCTGCTACGGCCATTTCTTCTGATACATTTGGTAAAGTTATCCTTACTTGGTTGAATCGAGTGAGGAGTCCCTCAATCCCTCTCCGGGCGATTGTTTGATGGTGAATATATCATTCATTCTTGCCTCTGCCTTTTTGTCCCCAGAATAGGCTGTTACGACCTTGTTGGCCAACTCTTCAAATGTTTCGATGGAACGCGCGGGAAGTTGTAAATACCAAGTTAATGCTCCTCTGGTGAGGGTCTCGCCGACCTTTTTCAGCAAGATGGAGGACACTTGTTCCTTGGCGAGGTCTTTACCTATTACAGCGGTGACATAATGATTCACATGATCTTCGGGATCGGTCGTTCCGTCATATATTTTTAGGTAGGGCGGCATTTTGAAGGTCTTTGGTATGGAATGCGGGGCGGCTTCGTCACTATATGGTTGCTCGACAAACCGACCAGCATTTCGTTTTGGCAATAGTTTCGGGGCGCCTGGTATTTTGTCGACTCTTTCTTGGTGTTCTCTCATTTGGTCTCGAAGAACTTTGTTCTCGTTTTCCATTTCCTCCATCTTTTTTCAAAATGGCTTATAGGGTGTCGTCATCTGCATTATTAACGGTGTGAGTAATACTTGTTACTGGGGGGGAAAGCGCCGTGTTGCTTGACTGTTGTCGGCGTAATGCAAGTCCTTGCATTTTCTCTGACTGTCTCCTTGGCGGGCTTGTTGAGGATGCCAGTTAGCGTGTTAGCTAGCCAAGTCTCTAGGAGCTTTTTCACAGCTGGTGGCGTCTCTTCCGCCGTGGATGAGGAAGCTCCTTTACCGCGGGATATTGCGATACTTCCGTGAAGGATGGGTGACCCACCTCGCCTGGGGGAGGTGTTGGACGTTATGTCCTCACCTTCTATTTCAGAAACCTCATTGATGGTGTTCAAAAGGGGTGGTGAGGTCAGCCACTACCCTCATTCTTTCTTCTGACCTGCCATGTCAGATCCGTGTGTACAAGGAAAAAGGAGTATTTCTTTTTTTTTGTAAACCGTGCTAGTTATAGATCTAGAACAGACTAAAGATTTAACTAGGAGATCCCCACAGACGGCCCAAATTGTTTGACAAAAAAGTGTAGGATCTTGGGTTATACTAATTATTTTTGTATAATGATGGGTTAAACGTAGTTAATGATAATATCTCTAGATTTATAACTAGTTAGCACAAATAACATAAAATAGTGTCGGTGGGGGATTAAATGCAGCGTGCATTTAACGTTCCAAACGGTTTGAGTAATGATAGAAGAATATCAAGTAGTAAATAAGAATAAATGGAATTAATTTAAACAAAGAGAATGATTCGCTCAATGTTGAATGAGGTGGATGATTCTTCTTTCTGACAGTGATGAATGACAGACAAATCCTAGACTATTGGATCTATTCTCGGATCTGATGGAAAAGTATTGAATAATGGATGATAGAATCTTATTGAAAAGGCAATGTTTGTATCTTTTCTTGAGAGAGAGTCTTCTTCTCTAAAAGTGGTTCTTATCAAATGAATATTACATGCCCTTTCCCCTTATCTCTTTTTCTATTTATATGGGACATATCCTTAGTCAATCCTAATAGTACAAGTACAGAGAATATTCAATGAAATATTCTCTTAAATATCCTATTACAACTAGCCGTTAGTATTGTCCTTGATACTTGACCTTGGCCGTTTGTTGACCGCCCGGCCACGAGCCTCACTGTTTACTACTCGACCTCGGCCACATCTTTCCATAATACCGCTTCATGCTAAATCCCTTCGAGGCCGATTTTGACCTATACAAGTTTTATCTTGGATTATGAATGCTGTGAGCTAGGAATTGCTCAGTGCAATTGTGTACAAATCAAGTGCACATAAGGTTTGGACATATTGGAAGGACAAATATGACAAAGTGGATGGATCTCGCACTTTTTTCTGCATAAAGAAATAGCAACTCTGTCGCATGGAATTTCTCCTGTGTATGCCTATTTTTTTAAAGTTGACAGACCCCTGGGAAGAATATTATGCTTTGATGCCTTGTCCTGGATGTGATTGTCCAGAATCAAAAAGCTATTCAGAGCATTTTGATTATCAGAGGTTATTACAGTTCCTAATAGGCCCAAATGAGACGTATGCACAGCCCAGGAGCCAAATTTTGATGATGAGTACAGTGCCTTTTGTCAACAAGGCATATTCCATGGTAATT